AAAAAAAAAAAAAAAGGAATGCTCATGCAACTGTTAGCTGACCAATCAGAATTAGCATGAACTTATTACGTGCAGCTAAAAGTAAAAACTTTAGCCGGCCCGCCCGTCATTATTACTGAGGCTCAGTGCGCTGCGCGACGCGGTCGGCCTGACGGGACTGGGACTTGATTTCTCGATCGCAACAGCGCAGCCTGTTAACTTTTCTCTCTCATTTACATCACCGAACCTCTCATCAATTTCTGCTTGCTAGGCGCAACAACTTGCTCACAGACACTCGTCATTACAGTGACAGCCAATCTCGGATTTTTTTTGTGATTTGATCTCTATTGCAATCGGCTTTGCGCGTCACGTCGTCTAAGTCGCCGATAAAGTCGAGTCGTCTTTATCGCCATTATCGATAGCATCGTGCGCGCTCGCTCCTGCTATCGATTACATCCAACCCGACCTGTACCTCCCTCGACGACATCCCTTCGAACAAAATGGAGGAGGACGGGACGCAGATTCTTGCTCAAGCAGCACTCGATCCAATTTCTCGACCAGACTCGACTTCGACTTCCGCATCAAATCTCCAACATGGACTGCCAGGCATCTCGGCCCTCGCTGCTGCCAACGCGGCTACAGACGCTACAGCTCAGTTAAGGTACGGATTGGATACTTGCAGAATCACCCATACACAAGCATAGCAACAAATGCGCAAACTTGACACTTGCGAAGAGTCACAGCAAAGCGAACCTCCAATCCATCCATCATCATCCCCCCAAACAATTCCAGCCAGGTCTTTTCACGTTGCACCTGAACTAACCCTTGTCTACAGAGCTTCTGTCGCAGCATCGCCCGCTATGTATCCTACTGCCTCTCCTGCCGCTACGAGTGGGGGATCTGGAAGTACTATGGTGAGTTTGGATCCTTTTTCTTTATCAAAATCTTATCATTGCCTTCCCGTCGCATCTTACATTGCATGTCACCACTGCAATCTTATCTCGACAACCGCGGACCACAATCCGTCCCGGTTTTTTCGCAGCCATGACACCAAACTTGGGCTTATCGCCTTCCAATTGATACAATCACGTGGCTTATCTTCAAACCTTGCCACGCTATCCCTCGTCAGGATGGATGGTGGGTCTTTGCCGCGGGCTTATCTGGCTTATCAAGCCAGTTACGTTGCAGCCAAAGAATTTTACTCCATCCTCTTATCGTGACCGAGATAATAATCAGCGCTCTCCCTCCCACTTTCGCATCTAATCACTTTATGTTCATGTTCACCAACCGGCAATATGATGGCAACTAACGGATCTACGCAGCCTACCTGCCACAATTGCAGCACCTCGACAACCCCATTATGGCGTCGCGACGAATTTGGCGCTGTCCTTTGCAATGCCTGTGGCTTGTTCCTTAAGCTACATGGCCGAGCACGCCCAATTTCTCTCAAGACCGACGTTATCAAGAGTCGCAACAGAGTGAAGACTATGCGCCCTGATTTGGCGAACAAGAAAAAGGTTAGTTCAATGCTTTCCGATCTTGCGCTCCTTGTTAACATTGGCCAGATGCAACAGCAACAGCAGCAACAAGCCGCACAAGGATTTGGCACGACCGATGCGAACAGTTATGATACCACTGGACAGGCCGCAGCCGCTGCAGCACACGCCGCGCGACAAGCGTCCCAAAACAACGCGAATGGTCATGATGGAGACTCGCCTCGCACTGGCACCCCCTCGATGTATGCGCATGGCCTATCCTCCTTCATGGTTGACGATCCGTACCCAAGCGGCTATGCCCAAACAGCCGAAGGTCATACAACATTGCCCATGAATGGAGATCGCAAGAACGATGCTTCCCAATCGCGGGAGCAGCTTGTCGCGCAAAACGCTACCCTTAAGACACGGGTCAGCGAACTTGAAGTAATTATGGAATTCTTGAGAGGTGGTTATAATCAAGAACAAGGGACAGTTTCTAAGGTCGAATACGACCAGGTGGTCTCCGACCGTGAAGCATTGAGGGAGAGCGAGGCTCAGCTACGAAAACAACTCGAGGACAGCCACCGACGCGAGAACATTCTAAAGCGACGTCTAGATGATCTTGAGCTTGAGCTTCATGGGGTCCACTCAGGCAGCCCAGGCTCTGATGAACGACCTGCCAAGAGGCCCCGCACCACTGACGACGACGAGCCTTACAAGACCCAATTAGAAAAAGACATCAAGGCTGCTGCTGATGCACTTCTTGCTTCCGATGCCTCTAGGTCTCACGAGGTCACCGAAAATGCCCCTGCTCAGTCGTCCGAGGCGGCACAATCTCTGGATGAGACAAAACAAACCGACCCTGCCCCCGAGACCGATGATGTTCCTATCGACCCTGATATGCCCATGATGGACGATGCTCATCAATCAGAAGCGAAAGTACAGGCCCCCGAAGATGCTGGTGTTGATGCCCCTGCAGCCACTGATAGGTCATCTGAGGCCGCGGATGATACAGAAGCTGCTGTATCCGAGACCGCTGCCGCGTCCGAGACTGCAGCTACATAAGAAGACTTATGCTGTGAACAATCTGATGAGCGATGTGTTTCTCGAAGCTCGATCGAGATTTGAGAATGGCAGGTGGGTGTCAGAAGAATTATCCCCTAAGGCTCAGGGTACAGAAATAAAGAAGCCTAAGCCCCAGCCTAAGTCAGCATAAGATGATTAAAAGATTTCGTCTTTTATGCTCTAGGCGGCCAATTCTTATGACGCCCTGA